CAGACACACACACATACATACATATCCTAAATATATTCACTATTAATATATATTATTCATATTAAATAACTTAGAAAAGTTTGTTCATCTCTTTCCTCCAAAAAGACATCTGGATCTGACCATTTTCTTTCTTCCTGATATGAGTCTTCTTAAAAACTTCCGATGCAATGGGAGTGTGCCCCTTTTCTTTTTCCCATAAATAAAAAACTGAAATCTATAGAGATGTATATGAATTAACTTATTATTTATTTAAAAATTTGAATTATCCTTACCATCTCTCTTACAATTGTTTCACGTACTTTGCACCTCCGGTGTGCAACGAGCCACCTTTAAGAGTTCCTTTAGCCTTTTTGGCTTGGTTTGATATTGCCTGAAATTTGTCTGTGTTTCAAAATAGACCTAGTTCATCATGGACATGCGGCATCATCCAATCCGGATATTCAACATCATCCTGAACTTTATTTAGGCAAGCAGACAGTCTAACGGATGCCTTTCTTTCAAATGTGGTCGAAATGACTTGATTGTGTCTCCACTTTCAAATAAACATAGTCTGAATAAAAAAAATTGAATAAGATTAGTTAGATAGTAAAAAAAGACGAAGTATACTAAATTTAACTAAAAATGTATACCTTAAAGTTATTAAACATTATGTGGTGTATACTTTTTAGGATCTCAGCCAAGAGGGATAAGCATGTGTATAGAGTATCCTAACACTTTAGTTCAAAGCCACGACAAGATTCTTTGTCGGATGCCACCTTCAAAACAAATAATAAATATGTTATTTCATAAATATATTAAAGTATAAGAAACAAATAAAATGAACGAACAAATAGATAACAAAATAAACTTACGATAATCCATCTGGTTCAATCATGACTCTACCAAGTCTGTCTTTCTAGCCAGGAACTAGAGGAGACCTCTCATCATCTAGAGTAGTACTAGGTGTAGTTGTTGCTGAGGCTGATACATACTCATAACACTGAGTCAATGGAGGCGTACCGGTCATAGAATTTGACAACTCACTTTTAGAATCTCTAATCCACATGGCAAATAACTCAGGAGATGTACATGTAGAATATGGAGTACTTGTGGGAGATGGAGTACCTGTCGATAAGGGTCCTCTCGACAAATATCCTGTAAAGGTAGGTCCTCGTAGCGTACTGAGACAATGCCTGTGAAGTAGAGGAAGCATTAACTGATCAACGGAAATTAGGATAATATCCTTGAGGATCCGTCGTACCAAATAGAACATCAAATACATGTGTATCATGATTGATTTACTTTGGCAGAAAAGAAATAGATCCAGCAGTATCCTCAAATATAGACTTCTTCTCTTTGACCTGTTTAGTCTCGCTAACTGTAAGATACTCGTGATGTCTATCATTGTCACCGCTTGATGCCATCTGTATGCAAATTTACATGTATAATATATATCAAAATCATAAATTCAATAAAATTAGCAAAATACACAAGCTTACCAATATATACTATTTATATTTATTCTACACTACTCCTCTCCACTTGTTTTTATTTCATCATTCTCCCATTCTTCCTCCTTAATTATTTCATTTATATTATCGTGTCATTCTTCGTCATCAAATGATTCATTTTCCTCATTCTCAAATATTTCTTCCTAAACATTCAGTATTTCTTCATCATATACTTCTTCTAATATGTGTTGAAGATGTTGTAGTGTGGCTTCCAATTCAACATTAACTTGTTGTTGAAAAATCGCAACATCTTTTTTGTAAGCCACATATAAGACATTGTCAATTTCAATTCTTTTGACATGCTTACTTTTTATAACGATCCATCAATTAGCTTTGTCTCTACGCAATGAATATGAAGCGCAATACACTTGTTTGACATTTCGCGCAATGATGAAAGGATCATAACTTCTATATTTATCGGTGTGCTTTACTTCAATTATTTTATGGTGATGGTCCACCTTTGGGACTCTATGTGATGGGTCAAACAACTCATACAAAAATAATAAAATCTTCTTTTTAGACAAACTTGAATACCTTACTTCAATAATCTCATGATTGATATCATACTATTAAATAGTTTGGCTAGTACCATCAACATCACCTTGTATGTAGACATCGCTAATATTTGTTTTCTCGTACGTAAAAACTTCTTAAGTTGGAAACTTAAACCCATTAACATAATATTTATTCATTGTCAATACTTGAGATTCCTATTCAAGTGCGCTTCTTTCACTAATAGTAAATGTTAGACACTTGAGGATTCAATGTAAACCTACATGATTGTTATTAAAGTAATATAATTTAGTATAAAATGAATATTTTATTAAATACTTAGTGATTTCACACTTACATAATTGTATATCCATTTTGAAAATTCTGTATAGATGATTTTATTATCCCATGTATTTACGAATAAGTTGATCATTTTACATTCAAGTATTTAGTTAGTTATTCAACACTTATTATGTAATTTGATCACATATTTTTAGCACTGACTTGAGATATTATTGAATCTCTGGACAAATAAGCAAAATGTGTGTCATTGCTGATTGCATTCTCATATCAGTGAAGTCTTGCTTTCCATTCTTTTTAGATCCTCAATCATTTTGATTAAAAATTGATATCGGTTGAAATAAAGGATCAGTATTGTCTTCATTATTGCGATTGGGACTGTTGCTCCTACATGATGCATCATCACCAAAGTAATATGAATAAAAATTACCAATTTCTCTCCCAATATGACCTCGAACAAATGATCCTTCGATATTTCCCCTTTGCTTAATTGTTTGCTTAAATCTACCAATTTTTTTGCATGTATATGTGTATATATTTGTTAATAAAAGAAATGTTGTTATATATATATATATATATATAACTTAGTGAATATTTCAAATGAATAACTCTCAAATTGATACATCCATCTTGTTTGAACCAGACCTTCGAGTTGGGCCTATTGTACAGAGTTAATTGGAAAATGCTCCATCATATCAAAGAAATCAGATGGAAATATCTTCTCCAACTTAGTAGTAATAACAAAAATATATTCCTACATCCGCTGTAAACTACTCTAGACAACTTTCAAGAACACAAGTCTTTAAAAAAAAGATTTGCCTCTGTGATTGATTTTCGTATCCTTTTTGGTTTATGGATAAAAGTGATAGGAACTAAAGTTTCCAAGAATATATGACAATCATGACTTTTCATACCTATCAATTTTCCTTCACTCATATTTGTGTGCTTTCCTAAATTCGAAGCATAGTCCTCCGGCAACCTCAAATTTTTAACCCACTCAAAAATTTCATGTTTCTCATGAAAAGCTGGCTTTTGGGTAATTCATGTATCAATTACTCTTTTCTCCTACAATACTCCTTTAAGTTCATTCTTGCTTTTGGATTGTCTTAACATCCATCATTGTGTTAAACAAATTATAAAAAAAAATTCAATGCGCATCACATCAAGATTATGTCGTAGTGATTGTCCTTCCAATCTGACAACTCTCAAAATATACTTTGTTTGGTCCAATTATGTCCAACAACATATCCATGAAGACTAGAAGGTGAAACTTCTGTCACTTTAGGTAATTGAGAAACTCTTCTCCCAAATTTGATGCCCTGTGAGTAATGGAGGCAGGAGGTCTCTTTCAACCTTATTTTTCCCAAATGCATTTTGCATATTTTCAAACTCATGGTCCAACGACAAAAACTGGTGATGACAATCAAATCATGTATTTTTTTCTGCCATGCTTTAAAATGAATGCTTTACTATTTTACATTCAATACGGACATGCTAGATTTCTAGCTGTTATCCAGACAGACAACATCTTGTATGCAGGAAAATCATTAATAGTACACATTAAAGAAGCACTCATGATAAAATTCTGCTTACTTGATATATTATAAGTCAAAACACCTACAAACCACAATTGTTTGAGCTCATCTATCAATTGATGTAGATAGACATCAATCAAACTTTTTGGATTAGAGATATGGAATAACACAACTTAGAAAGACGTAGGGATTGGTCATGCACATTTCAATAGGAATATTATATAAAGTAAGAAATACCTACCATTATGAATAAGGCAAAACTGCATTAGAGAATCGTGTAAGCCATCTGAGCACAATCTCATTCTAGCATTTCTTGGTTCACCAAACAAATTAGGATATAATTATCAAAATATTTCCATGCTTCACCATCATATGGATGAGATAAGACACCGGTGGCCTTCGATATTCAAGATGTCATCTCATATATGGGACAAACCTTATTGATGCATACAACCTCTTTAACCTAGGAATGAGAGATAGATGATGCATCACATGAACCGGGACCATCTTTCCACCCGGAGTCCTCTTATAATGAGCATGTCCACAAAATTTACAATTTTTAAATTCACTATCAGTATTGTAAATCAACATACAATTATTAACACAAAAATGAATTGTATCATATGTCAATCCTAACTTGGATACCAAATGCTTTGCCTGATAGTAGTTTTTTGGTATGTTAAGCTCCGCATTAACTACTTCACCCAAAAGATCAACCATTGACTCCATAGTCACATTAGGAATATTTCAATCTTATTTAATATTCAATAATCAAACCGCAACTGACAAAGCAGAATGCGGACTTCCTTCACATAATGGACGACTAGACTCTTCTAATTGATCATAGAAGCGTCTTGCTTCTGCATTAGGAGCTTCATCAAAATATTATTTAGGTTCCATCTCACCTTGAACCCCAAAAGAATCATTGATCATTTATGAACTCTATCATATTCAACCCTAACCTATTCAACCCTAATTTGACAATGTGGTGCAATACTATTATATATATCCAGATGCATCGAATTATATAATATATAATCTAATCAATCAATTTCTCCATGATAAATTCATACAAAATATCTTAGCTAAAATTCATTACAGTACGAATGAACCATAACCTAATTTGGTTCAAAAAAATTTAAACACTTACATGCACTTCAAGGACACCTGACCAATCCATTATTCTTGAAAATGTCAAATGTCATTGTATGTCCAATAAAATCTCTAACATCGTCAATTAACTCGGGTTTCAAATCCACACTAGTTTCATAATGCATATTATACATCCATCAAACGATGATCCACCTACAAAAATATAGATATCCAATTAGTTTTAAATTAATTCCAACAACTAAATCTACCAACTAAACCACAATATTTTATAACTCATTTAAACAACTTAACAATTTTTTAACTTTAATTAGTTTAGTATTCATGACTTAATTCCAACAACTAAATCCACCAATTCAAAATAATATTATTTTGCTAACTTATTAACAACTTTTTAATCTCAAGTAGTTAGTTTTGATTTTATACAACAACTAAATTCACTAACTAAATCACATTATTTTTCTTAAATTACGTAAACAACTTTAACTAATTTAGTTTTGACTTAATACAACAATAAATCCACTAAATAAACTACATTATTTTTCTAACTAATTTAAATTACTTAATAATTTTTTAACTAGTTTAGTATTGATGACTTAATTTCAATCACTAAATCTACCAACTAAATCACATTATTTTCCTAATTTATTAACAACTTATTACTTTAACTAGTTTAGTTTTAAAGGTAAGTGTCAATACTAGATGGACACAATCCATCATGCAAGAAAATAATTTTTTTTATCAATAGGATCAACTAGTGTTGGTACATATGCTACACAAAAACATTTTTCCTAAACTAAAGCTATGTGTCAACACTAGATGAACACAAATCGACCTTGCAAGAAAATCAATTTTGTCACCAATAGGATCAACTAGTATTGGTACTTGTAATAAACAAACACATTATTCCTAATTAATGTTTAAATGTAAACACTAGATGAACACAAATTGATCTTGCAAGAAAATCAATTTTGTCATCAATAGGATAAACTAGTGTTGGTACTTAGGTTAAACAAACACATTATTCCTAAATTAAAGCTTAAGTGTCAATACTAGATGGACACAAATCGATCTTTCAACAATCAATTTGTAATCAATAGGATCAACAAGTATTGGTACTTATAATTAACAAACACTTGATCGACACAAATTAATAAATTATCACAAAATTAAAGCAAAGTATCAATACTAGCTAGATGGACACAAACACATTATTGAAAATAATTGTAATTGAACTTTAGAAATTTAGAAGCACTAACCTTATCTCTTACTTTGATGAAAGAAGAAATATAGTCTTGTATCAAATTTTTTAGATGTTGAGCTTCCTTAGTTACCTAGCACGAAAAGTTTTAAATTTAGTTTAATATGAAATTAAAATCCAAGAATTTTAGGTACAAGTTCAAGTTCAAATTCTAATTTCAAGTTCAAGTTCAAAATTATAAGTTCAAGTTCAAGTCTAAGTTCATGTTCAAATTCTAAGTTCAAGTTCAAGTCTAAGTTCAACTTCAACTTTGTTTTGTCTAAGTAATTTCAATTGTTTAATATCTAATTTCAAGTTCAAGTCTAAGTTCAACTTCAAATTCGAACATCAAGTTCTAAGTTCTAAGTTTATGTTCTAATTTCAAGTTCAACTCTAAGTTTAACTTCGAATTATAAGTTCAAGTTCAAATTCTAATTACAAGTTCAAGTTCTAAGTTCAAGTTCAAATTCTAGATTGAAGTTTTATTTTCTAGTTCAAGTCTACGTTCAACTTCAAAATATGCTTTATTTGGTGTAATTAAGTTCAATTAGTTCATGTTACCTAGATAGTCAAAGCTTAATTACATAATCAATACTAATTAATTAAGTTCAAATTAAGTTCAAGTTCTCATTAATTAGCTGATCAAAATTAAATTTATATTAATTCCTCATTAATTATGGTCAATAAAATTTTCATGTACTACAAAATTATAATTAAGTTCAACTAAAATCAAAGTTCAAATAAGAATACAATTAACTTATAATAAATTAAAGTAAAAAACATTTCAAGTTTATATTCCTAATTAAATTCAATTAATTATAAGTTCTAATTAAGTTGTATTTCAAATCCGTAGTCTAAAAATCACAAATTTAAACTAATCCTAGTAAAATTCAAATTCAAAATCCTAGTCTTAAAATCACAAATTCAAAGTACTCATAGAATTCAATAATCAAACTAGTCCTAAAATCTCAAATTCAAACTAGTCTTAAAATCACAAATTCAAAGTACTCATAGAATTCAAAATCAAACTAGCTAGTGCCAAAATGGCAAATTAAATTATTGGTAGTCCTAAAATCTCAAATTATAAGTTCAAGTTCTAAGTTCAACCTCAAATAAATTTAAAGTTCTAAGTTCTATGTTCTAACTTCAAGTTCAGTCTAAGTTTAACTTCAAGTTCTAAGTTCAAGTTCAAGTTCTAAGTTCAAATTCAAGTTCTATGTTCAAAGTTCAAGTTCTTAGTTAAACTTCAAATTCTAAATTTAAATTGATATTTAAATACAACAATTAGTTATGTATATTCAAGTTTTAATTAAAAAAAACATCATCTAATCATAACACTTCATTAATTACTAATTTCATTCTTCAAATGAATACTTCACTAGCTAAAATTCAACCTTATCCCAAAAAATTCTCAATTCATCACACATAACATATTCTCATGTTAAACTAGTCCTAAAATAAAAAAAGTCTTAATTACTAACTAAAAATCCCAATTCAAATGAATCCTAAAATAAAATTTTAATCTCAATTCTTCACTCACTAACAATCTCAATTCAATATAACCTTAAAATAAAGTTTTTCAATTCTCTATACCGAAGTAACAATAATCAAATGAAATTAACAATTGAATAAGACAACCCAACAACAACAAAAAAATAATCTACTGACAAACAGTCAATTATGATAACTAGAATTGAAAATAATAATAATTAAAACTTACCTTAACAAATATGAGAGGGAGCGAACGGCGAACGACAACGGTGATAGGACACACTGCAAGGGCAGGGACGGGGACGGGACGGAGAAGGGCAGCGACGGGGAAAATCGATAGAAGGAATGGGGACAGAATAAGGGTTGAGAGAGAGGGGGAAATGAGGAAAACCCGATTGGTCTATCAGATATTTAATGAAAAGTAACGGACAACGTCTCCATGTCCGTCGCTTTTATTTTAAAGATACTTGAATAAATTTTTGACCAAAAAGAGACGGACAAAGAGACATTCTCCGTCGCTTTTTAAAAATAATTGACCAGATATTTTGTCCAAGAAGAGACGGACTTAAAGATGCTATCCGTCACTTATTTAAGAAACAATTAAACAATTAAAATTAATAAAAAGCGATGAACAACATGACTTTTTTCTTAATTTGTAAATAATTATTTAAAATAAAAATATATAGACTATATGTATAGAATAATTTATTATTTATTCTATATATTTGGCTCAAAAGGTCGTTCGCCACTTTTAAAAAAAAAAATATTTTTTAGAAAAACCGACAGACAACACTTTTATATCCGTTGTTTTTTAGTCGTGAATCATTAAAAAATTAATTTAAAACTTCTTATATAACTATAACTATATTATAGAAGTGAATGTTGAGGAGGTTAGGATCAGCTGGTCAATTGACCAATTTGCCCTTCTCCTCAACTTTTTCTAATTATATTTTGTATTTTATTTATTTTAATTTAATTTATTTAAATATTTATTTTTACCTACTATGTATTTATAATAATATTAGTAAAAATTAATTTAAAATATTGCAAATTTAATGACATCTCTAAATTTTACAGATACGACATAATAAGATTGAGAGTGCCATTTTTATTTGAAAATCACATTAAGAATTCTATAAATTACAATAATTAACAACTTAAAATATTTGAAACTCATATTAAAATTTTATTAACTCTAGTAATTTCATACATCGAAAATGATATTATACAAGCTAATGTTGAGGAGCTTAGGTTCAGCCGGTCAATTGACTGGTTTGCCCTTCTCCTAAACTTCTTCTATTTAGTATTGTATTTAATCTATTTTATCTTTACTTTTTTTTTAATATACTATGTATTTATAATAATAGTACTAAAAACTAGCTTAAAATATTACAATTTTAATTACCTTTCAAAATTTCATGTACGACATAATTAGGACTGAGAGAATACCATGTATTATTTGTAAATCACATTAAGAATACTATAAAATACAATAATTAACGACTTAAAATATTTAAAAATCTTATTAAAATGTGGTTAACTCTACAAATTTCACATATGCCACATAAATTAACACAAAGGGAGTAAAATATATTGTTACATTAAGAGTACTATTAATCACAATTTAAAATATTTAAAAGCATATAAATTTTTTCAATTAAATCTCACAATTTAATATGTACCATATTAATTCGGACAGGGAAATAACATGTAGAATTTAAAATTACATACTTGAAATATTGTATTAAAAATATAATTAAAATTTCGTTCTCTCACAAATTTACATGTGACACATAAATCATAATAATTAACAACTTATAATATTTTTTTAAAATATATTAAAAAAAATTTCACCCCCTAAATATCACATGTGCCAAAGATATTATTGGAAAAGTACTTAAAAACATAATAAAAATAATAAACAATAAAAAAACTTGAAACTATTGTAATGTTATCTGTTTCACATAAATTAAAATAACTAAATTATATATATTCGGCCTGCCCGTACTGTTATATCTAGTTACTACTATAGAGAGCACGAATAGAATGACTATATTAAACATAAATTTTCCTAAAATAGCGTAAACTATTCCACTAGTAAATGGGTAGTCTTTGAGTCAATGACGACTGGACAAGTTGGTATTACTCAAATGTTATCATGTATTATTATTTTATTACTATCTATCTATCTATCTATCTATCTATCTATCTATCTATCTATCTATCTATCTATATATATATATATATATATATATATATATATATATATAGTGCAAACAAAAAACTAAAAGTAGGTGGCGGTGTCAACGATAATTAATTAATGCAATAAAGTAATAGATTATGAAATTAAAGAAAAATACAGTTTAAAAATTTGAATTTGATTATTATCAAATCAAATTAAAATGACAAAGATGGGAGAGAGAGCAAACTCTAACCAAGTATTCTTGAGAGAGAGAGAAAGCTTCTTGCCAAAAAAGATGATCCTACAATGTGGAGGAGGGGGGGGGGGGCTTTTATAGCCAAAAATATGCTACAGTAAAAGTTCTACAGGAGTGCTACAGTATTGCTACAATACCACCCTCAATAATTTTCATCCAATGCTTTGATGATGTCATGGGTGACTTAATTTTTATTGTGTAATTGTGATGTCAAGGTGGCTGGAAATTTTTAGCAAGTATTATCATCTTCATTATTGGAATCAGACTTATTTTCTTCTTGATATTGGAAGCTGGGAAGTTCGACCTTAATTATTTATAGGATTTTCTCAATGTGTTGATTGAAGTCTCCCCTACTACTTGAGCTGACTATTTGTGTAGTTGCAATTGATTTTTGTTGTAAAAATTTAATTTGGGAGGCATCAGTCGGAATTAGACACCATGGGTTATGCAAGAACCATTTTTCCACTTCTGGGATACATGCTTCTTTGGGATCCCAGTTTTTCCACCATTTACAATAGCCCTGGATAGACAATCATGGGAGTCCTTTCTGTCCACTTTGTTTGTGAAATGCAAATTTATGGGCAAATATCCATGAGAATGAAAACTATGGGAAAATTAAAACAAAAATAGGAATATAGTGTTGATTTGAGTACTTTTGACAAAAATAGTTGTATGCCTCTAAAACTGGTGAGGGGATAATATCAACTTTGTTGCTATATACGGGCCACCACTGGAGTAAAAACCATTGAGGGAATTCATAAGCAAGTTGTTTTCTCCAAAGGAAAATCCACAAATGTTTGCCAACATTGTTTTGGAAAGTTAAAGCATTCACCCATGCATTTTGGTAGTCAAAGTATTTGTAGTTTTGAGGTTCAAATGGATGAGAAAGTTTTTTATACTTGGCAGGGTGCATACCCATTCTCCGGGTGAGATTATCTTATTTATGAAGACCGTAGAATGGGTAACATACGTCTGTGTTGGTTTATCTTTGTGGGGCTTGTACAGACAATACTTGGTGTCAGCTAGATGAACTCATTGAATTTTTGGATTCTTTTGGATAAAATTTTCATTAGGGGTAAGTATTTTCTTGGTTACCTCCTGGGAGTTTGAATCCTAAAATTCTAGTTCGATTTGTATCAGAGGGTAGACACAATCATTTTTGAAGTAGGTTGGGTCATCAGAGAAGGATTCTCCACTTGAAGAAACAGGTTTAGGTGTGGGTGAGGAAATTAATTTGTTTGTTATTGGGCATAGCGTGTTTGTATTTGTGTTTTATGAGGAATAAAATAAAATATTGATGGGGCTCTCCACCTCTACTGGTGCTTTAGTGGTGCTGATGGCAGCCACCGAGTGTGTGGAAGATGTCGAAGCGTGACTTTCTGCCGCTACTTGGTTACACTTTTTTTTTTGAAAAGAAAATTGATTAATCAAATCCTTCCTATTGGAACTGCTCATAACTGTGGCTTCTTTAAAACCCATGAATTGTCGCCAGTTCTTGAAGTCTTCCTCTGTTCATGAGGTAGACATTGATTGGGCCATCTGTTCTTTTTCTTCTTCCTCTTCTACTAGATCATCCCATTTTTTTAGACCAGAAATCGGAAAAGGATTTGCATTTTCTTGGAGGAAAGCTGAAGTTCGATATCTTGTTTGGTTTGACCTAGATGTGGTAGTTGATTGCTTTTTAGTAACTGAATTTGTTTGTTGTTGAGAAAACAAAAGTAAAGGCGTCTTCGAAGGTTTATGTTCAGCCATTGCTTAAATTTCATCATGTGTGCTTAGTTCCGTCAGTTCCATTTTCTTTTTTCTACCTATAATTACCGACCCTGCAAGAATTCTCGAGTAAGAAAGTCTGGGATAGAGTTTGAGCTCCCCTTGATACATTCTATACCAAAATAAAAAATAAATAAAATAGTTTGCCATCGAGCAAATATATGCTTAGAAGCAAGGTTTTGGACATCTTGCAAAATTGATTTTGCCGCTTTAAAATCAATGCATAGTGAAATTTTTTGATTTCGTAAATCTGATTGAAATTTGGAGATGCATAAAACAATTTCCAAAATTTCCTTTTTAATAATAGGATAATTTTATTGGGACTTATTCCAATGCTTGGATGCAAATGCAATGATATGCTCCTTTTCATTTTGTTTTTGCCGTAAGATCCCACCATAACCTATGTCAAAAGCATCTGTCTCAACTATTTTGAAAGCAGAGGGGTCAAGAAGTGATAAGCATGGAAGATTCTTCGCTTTCAGTTTTATCTCCTTAACAATATTTGTGTGGATGATGGTCCATGAGGGAAGATGTTTCTTTAGTCTATCATGGAGAGGCTTCAATAAATTGCTGAGACCTGGGATAATGTCCGCTATATTATTGAAATACCCCAAAAATAATTGAAGTTGGGGTTTATCGAGAATTTGATTAGGAAATTTATCTCCAAATTGTATGGATCGTTTGATAGTGATCATAGTACCTTGTTGAATATTGTGCCCAAGGAACCCTATTTTAATTTGAAAAAGACTATACTTTAGTTTTGAAAAAAAATAAGCCATTGTCTTTAATAATATTGAAGAAAATTTTCAGATGCTTGAAGTGTTGGTTGACGCTAGTAGAGAATACTAGTACATCATCAATGTAGACTATGATAAATTTTGAGAAAGGATTGAAGATATCATTAATTATTTTTTGAAATTCCGAAGGAGAATTGTTAAGTCCAAATGGCATAACATTCCACTCATACCTGCCAAATGGCATAACATTCCACTCATACCTGCCAAAAGGTACCTTAAAAGCTATTATATGACAATCTTTTGGATCAATTTGAATTTGCCAAAAGCCTGATTTGAGGTCAAATTTTGAGAAAATCGTCGCAGCATATATCCGATGGAGGAGATATTTCTTGTTGGGAATAGGGTATCTAATCCAACAAAGAGCGGAGTCTAAAGGTTTATAGTTGATGATGAGTCGCTGTACTCCTCGTTCAATCTCACAACTTTTGTTAACATAGAATATAGCACAACTCCAAGGAGATTTTCTTGGAGAATTGATCGGCTTTTCAAGAAGGGCGTTGATTTCATTTTGGTAGTGGATCATGAGTTCATGATTAATTTTGATAGGGCGAGCTTTCTGTACGGATAAGTTTTTCATCAAAGCTTGGCTCATAAGGGAGCCTTTCTATATCTTTTTTGTATTCCAAAAGGTTGTGGGTAGATCCGCACAAAGCTCATTTTTGTATTTTTGTTTCTAAGGTTTTAATTTTGGATTGAAGAGAAGGTTCTTTCAGTTGTTGTTGCAGTCTTTGGAAAGCTACTTCTTCTTTGAGAAAGTTTATTTGGGCCTCATTATGTTTCAAAGTGGAAAATACTTTCTTAATAGGAGGTTTATAAAAAAGAACGGAAACATTGATACTTTCAATTTCAATTCCGTGGTTGCTCACCCTGAATGGTATAAGTTCTTCTATAAAAGGAGTACAAAGTATTACCGGGTTTGTAATATCTTTTACTAGCACAAATGAAGTAGTATTTGAGAGAATAGAGTCCCCTACTAAATTCCTAATCTCAACATCAGAGAGCTTATAATTAATTCCTAGTTATTAGCATTCGCAGCTCTAAGGGCGTCTTTAGTTTTTTCAAAGAACTTGGTAGGGATGAGTCTTTCTTGGACGCAATTGAGATCAGCGCCTATGTCAAACAGAGCAATGATATCTATTAAAAAGGATTTGTTAACTACAAGGGTCATTCTCATACGCCATCTACGAATAGAGATCCTCGAGAAAAAGTTAAGAAACTCACCTTGTTCTTCGCCATTGTCTATTGGATCATTTTTGGGGATACTTGGTGAAGATGAGATTTGTTGGAGGACTAGGCGGTCTAATTCTTGCCTATCCTTAATTTCTCTAATCTCTTACTTAGGAAATCTATTTCATATTGAAGATCCTGGATGGTTATATCTTTTGATTTTTTGGAGGGAATGTTTTTCAGGATATCTGTAAGATTGTAAGTGTTTGCCACTTGGGGGGTGCGAAAATACATGGGAAGAATAAGTTGAAGGTTTATCCAAAGCCTTTTTGATTTATCTAGATAGTGTTTTTTCTGGTCCGATTGCTATTGAGTTCAAGGAGAAGATCATGTTCTTTAGTGAGAACATTTGCCTCAGCTTGGCTGGTATGGTCTTGTTTAGACTCAGAGGAATCTAAGTCGTCATTTTCAATTTGGTTGAAACATTTTTCAAGTTCATTTTCTGCATACTAAGAGTTTTCACTATCTTCTAATAAGAGGTTTCGGATTTCATTAAGGATAGACTCATCAAGGTTAAGATTCTTAACCCTTTTGGACAAATTGCAGTATTTGGAAATATGGCCCGATTTATTTCAAATATAGAAGTTGCCATTATTGGGTGTCAGAGAGGTTGTTTTTTGGTTGATTTTTGAATCCTTGGAGGGGATTTTCTGGATTTTATGAATTATTTTGGAGTCTTGGAAGGACATTCTTTTTTTCTTGGAATTATTTTTCGAAGAGATTTCTTCCTACATGGTGGAAGACCAAACTCTTCGCAGACACTTTCTGAATCTCGGCTGGTTTGGGCCTTATCTATAGCTATTTGTCTGAAAAAATTTTCAAGACGACAAATGATGAGAGGAACTTGTTGTATCAAGCTGGTCAGTTGGCCATAAATAATTTATTCATAAGGAATAACATCACTAGGGTGTAGGTTTTGGAGTTCTTCTCTGACTAGGTCCCTACGAGACTTAGGCAAACCATCCAGAAAATTTTCTTTCCAGCATGGGAGATTACCATCTGGCTTCTCATAGATTCTTGAGAGA